TGCTGTCCTTGTTTGGGTAATCTGGGAATATCCTTCTGTGGGATGATTCCTAACATGAGTGTCAGAAAGGCATCAGTTCCTCAGTGATCAGGGACAGCATTCCAGGCATAGAGCTTAATGAACAAGGACCTGAGTGAAAAGCAATATTGTGGGAGAACAAAGCAAGAGCCAGACCATTAAGGGCTTTGTAAACCAGGTTAGGCAGAAGAAAAGGACAACATAATAGAGTAGCAAGAAAAAGAGAATAAAAAGGGTAAATACATACTGATAGATGGAAGAAGGCAAGGAGAAAGGGAGAGGGGAAGGAAAAAGGAAAATAAGATAGAAGAAACTTTGGAACAATAAAATGTCATTGCTATAAGCAAACATAAAATCTTGATAAAGAAATAAGCTGCCAGTGTAACAGAATGAAAACCAGAAGACAATCAACAACATTCTGAGGGAAAGCTAAGGCAGAGTCACTGAGGTACCACCCCTCTTGACTGGGACAGTCACAAGGGAGCCACACGATCACAGCGTGGCTTGGATGGATGTCTGACAAGGAGAAAGCCAGAAACCAACCCAAAACACAGATCAGTGTTTTTAAATCAAGTTTCTATAACCATAACATTTTGATTAAAATTGAATTTTTTCTGGGAGGTCATAGTACAGAACCTGGCTGAGGCCTGCCTCTGATTACAGGCTCAAAATGAAGAAACAGGTGCAAGGATCATGAAAGTGGTGGGTCTGAAATTGACTAAGAGCAAAGGGTGCAAATAAATACTATAAAGTTTCAGTAGGAAAAAAATAATTTCAGGCCAGGGGACAAAGAAAGTGATTTTCAGAGCAGGTAAATGTTGAGTATTCCCAGACCAGAATAGGCTGTATTTGAGACTATGTGCCTCTTGTTGAATCTTCTGGAAGTGGCACTTCAGGGAATCACAGGCAGTTGCTAGTTTGTAGCCCAAGCTTAGTTTTGTGGGCTGGCCTTTCTCAATTACTCTGAAACTCATGGGCCCTTTTGTGAAAGGAATAGGTATGCACTATTTTATTTTTCTTAATGCTTCTATTACCAAACAAATTGCTCCTGGAAATAATATTTTACAGTCATAATTCACATTCACATACAAGTCTTAAATGTAATAAAGTTAGATTCCTATAAACAAACTAGTGCCATTAAGGCCATAGAGGATATATTGGTCATAGTGGACATGCAAAGATTAATATCAAGTAATACACACTATTTAACAGAAAGGGGCACTTTCATGAAAGTTAAAAGTAAATACCCTATGTGCCACTAGATATTTTATTGAGAGCTTGCTTATTCTCTGTATTTACTGCACAAGTTACTAATAAAATAATTGTTAAAGTCACAAAACCTATTACCTTCATTGAGTTAAGATTTATTATTTAACTCTGGCACCTTATGAAAACACTCATTTCTAGCATTTGTTATTTTTATCTGTTTTATCTTTGAAGTCGTGCTATGTCTCTCCTCTGTGGTTAGGAAGCTTGGTGCTTTAGAAAAACTATTTGATTAGGAAAGTCAAAGACCTGCATACTGGCCAAAATTCTGATACTTTTTTAATAATGGGGAGAGAAACAGGAAGTCCATGAACCCAGAGATTATGACTGTTTTATTAACATTAAGTTCTTGCTGCTTAGCAAAGCTGTGGACTGTAGAAGCTGCATAATAGCTATTATATGAATAAATGAATGAATGATGAATGAAGTCACTGAGCCTTTTGTACCTCAGCTTTCTCACTGAAAAGTAGATATAGACACATCCTGCTTATCTTAATATGTAATTAGAAGTTCCTGAAAAGTTAAAACTCATATGTAAGAAAATTATTTTATGATAAGTAATACAAAAATTCAAACTTGATTTTTGATTCACAAAATATTGGTCTACTTCACAATGGTTCTCTGTAAGCCTCTTATTTGATTTTTCAGGTTAATTGCAGGGGAAAAACAGAGATTACATTCTGAAAGGACTAATTTATAAGCCATTGTTGTTTCTTCATCATTTATGTTATTGGAATGAAGTAAAGATCCATATAATTCTAGTAGTACATATTCCAACAGTCATATGTACTCGGCATTGACATATGTTTCTGTACTTTTAGTTGAATAAAGAGTGTCTGATGTTCTGATAATTGAACTAAAACAAAATAATGAAGGTACAGTGACAACATCTGGTTCAGGATTTCCTCATCCTAAGATTCCTCAGTTTAAGGTTTTCACACATTAATCCATACAGACTGACATTGCTCTAGATCTGTATCACCTTTTATTCCCATGAATGACAGAACTCATTTATTTGATTTCCCAGTGGAAATACCTACTGGGTGACTGACATAGGATAGCAAAATTAGTAAGTTCAACATAGCTGAATGGGAGAAATACATAGACAATATCCACACTATATGTGATATTGCCATTTGTTCTCTTACCCAGAGATAACTTTGCCTCCAATGGCACAGAAAGTTAGAAGCTGGCTGTCTGGTAGGAAAGCACAGCCTGCTCTTTACCACTTTAACTTGTATAAAGCAGTTTCAACAGCATTTCTTTAGAATATTCAAATAATGGGGGGGAATGACAGAAATTTTCTTCCAGCTACTTTCAGATTTGAAGAATATATCTCGGTGAAACTATTCATCATCAGGATAATTTCTACATTGAGTATATTTTGGCTCTGTAATATAATTCCTAAATTTTTCTGTGCTAACCCTTGACAACTTTCTGGCTCGGAGTGAGGTTAGCTGCCTAAGGCCCTGCACAATGCAATAGAAAATCCCCGAAGACTAAAAGTTTATGGCGTACTAAATTTAGTTTGACAATATTCAGAATAGACCAAGGTCATCAATTGTAAATATGTATCATTAGGCAATACAGCACCATCTATCCTGTCTACCTACTCAACCAATAGGCTGGATTTTCCAGGCAACACCTGGTTACATTAATCACTCAGTTCTAGTTCAATCTAGTTCAACCTGCCATCAACATCCAGGATGGTCTATTTAACTAGCTTAAAAAGATAATATTCATTAATCTTGGGAAAGTTCCTTTCTAACAATATACAATCCTAGCAATAGCTTTTCTTCTTTAGTAAAAAAAGGATTTTTTATTTTAATTAATTTTTTTGTCCTTCTGGTGTTCTAAGCTAAATAACAGATGCCATCACTTTAGTAGCAAAGAGCTATGCAAATTTTAAGAAGTGTATTGCCCTACTGAGAAAAACAAATTTATTTAAAGACAATAACTTATTTTCCTGTTTGATAAGGCTACCATTAGTTGTTTATGATTATGATAGCTGAAGGACTCTTCCAGAATAAAAATTAATTGCTAAAATGTTATCACAGCACTCATGATCCTGGACCATTAGTATGAAGTCAATATTAACTTGAAGAAAAACAAGACAAATAGACACAAAACTCAGTTTATGAAGAAAATTTAAATATCAATGATGTATCGATAATAATAATTATATTTTGAACATTAATATCATATTTAGCAAAAAAGATTTTTAAAGTGTAAAACACTCATCATTATTTTTTTTAAATATACACTATCAAGTTTCTATTCGTAAAATTATTTATCCCAAGCAACACAGTACATGGGGACATACATGCCATAGACACATGACCTAGCTATGTTTTGAGGATTTTATTCCACAGTTAGAAAGAGATTTACTGATGTTTTTAAGGTTGAAAAATGAAATTGCTCATACTTACTTAGTCCAGCATTGAAGAACCAAAGACTCTTCACTGCCACTAACTAGGTTTTGAATTTTTGTCTTTTCAACCTATGCCTTATGTCTAATAATTCTGTATTTTACTTTTAAAAATATGGACCCATTAATTTTTGACCTTAGTAAAGGCTTTTAAATTCATTCTATTAAGGGATTCCATTTTATGGATGATTAAAAAAAGGAACAGAATGAAGTTATTCTAGAAGATTTAGTCATAACCAAAGCAGAAACCAGTAATGATCACAGGGAAACATTTCTCAGAGGATAATTTAATGACATTACTAAAAATGTGGGAATCCGTATACCACCTGGATGATTAGGAAAGGGGTTATTAGCTAAGCCATTGTCTGAAACCCACTGATTAACTAGCCCTTTTGAGAAATGATTGGTCCTTTTTTTATAAAGATGGGTTTTAAAACATAAGAGATGTTCCAAGTAGCAGAGCTGAAAGATAAAAAGGACACAGACCTTGATGGGCCTAGATATCTCTTCATAGGCAAAGGAGTGAGGTAAGATGTCAAATCTTTGCTTTCATAATATTAATAAACAAAATCAGTCAACCCTACAGAATAGCCTACTAATGTCACCCTAATTGTGTAGGACAAATCACTGTGTAGAACAGTGATCTGAAGAAGGGCAACTTTTTCACATCTAGAGGACAAGACATAATATACTTACAGGTGTTGCACTGTAAATCAATATTACAGTTTAATTTCATAAGCTTTTTTGCCTGAGTTAGAAAAATATTGACTCAGTTTCTTAGTTTTAATATATACTTAATGTTATTAGATTTTTCAATGAAAATCATTTGGTGGTAAACTGCTATTGTCAGATCTTTATTGTAGTATTTTTTACTACTACACTAAATAGACATTAAAATTGTTTTCATAATAAGGACCCAGTCATGGGCACTCCCAGGGTCAGAAAGACTCATTTCCTTCAGTGTAGAACAGCACAAAACATGAGGCCATCTTGTTTGTAACTCATTCAACTACACCATTCAACTCATCTGCAACCAGATGAGTCATTTGGTCAAGTTAAAAGGATGAGCAAACAATTTTGGTTTGTCTCTCTACTCAGAGAAAATAATAATTCCTATTATATATATTTATAAATATTTCATTTTAAACCCTAATATATAAGCAAATACTGTAAAATTCACTTAGCTTCTCTCTTGATTGAATAATCCAACTAATTAATTTCATGATTTTTATATCTTCATTTTAAAGCTAAATGTCACAATTATTTTTTCTAGATATTTTATCTGAAAATGAAAACGATAATTCTTTGGGGGCTTCTAGGAGCCACAATGTCAGCTCCGGTAAGTGATTTCATAATACAACCGATACCAGTGTATAAAATCTTTAACAAATCTTTTTCTTACCGTTTTTTTTTTTTAGCTTATCCCACAGCGAATTTTGTCTGCAAGCAACAGCAATGAGGTTAGTACTCAAAACAGTTTCCTCCTTTTTGTTTGTTTGTTTTTTAAAACACAGGAAGGCAGAGATAAAAGTTAAAAATTCAAAAAGTAGTTAGGGGATATAAAGATTCTTTGGTTCTTCAGTGCTGTTATATCTAAATGCATTTCCAATGTTCATGTTCATTTTGTATACCAGGTTATTTCTAGAATATTATTTTGCCTTGTTTGATGGCAAATTCTTTAAAAGCAATGAAAATATCTTGCTTATCTTTTTGTTTTAATAGGTGTATATAGGTGTTTAAGAGCATAAAATGACTGACTAAACCAGAAAAGGGCTAAAGCTGTACAATCTCATGCACAGTAGGGGAGGAGTAGTTAAATCCCTACCTCTAATCACTGCAATTTAGTATAAGCTTAGTAAGAAAACATCTCACTCCTAACAGGAAATTAAGATTAGTCAGCTCTGACCTGTGTTATGTTTGTAATAAACATTGTTCTTAATAATTTTACCATATAGTAACCTTGTTTTTATATTACCTTTTTTTTCTAGTTACTTCTGAATCTTAATAATGCTCAACTTCAGCCACTACAGCTTCAGGTACCTCTACCTTAATAATTATTTTAAGACTATGTTTCTACTGCTCATTTCTTATTATAGCACTTCTATGAAAACAAAATGTTTTCTGACTCTACTTCTGAAATCTGTTTTTAAAGTTATGAATTTGTCCCATATATTTTAATGACCCTGTTTGAACACTAAAAACTATAATCTAATTAGCATTTATTAAGAACTTGGTACATGCCAGACACAGATTTTCACAACTACCAGATAGTTAACTATTTTACATAAAGTCATACCCAGCTAACTGTTTTTAAAAAAAAAATTTGAATCCAGTCTGGCAACTGCAGAAACTATACTCTTTATTGACCTCATTCTGCCCCATATTTCTCGTGGCCATTGGGAATTTAACATTGTTCATGCTATTTACATGGCTCAAAATGTGCAAAGATGCTGTCTTTTTTTCATAATGAATGCAGCAGTGAAAATATAGAAATTATTTAGTTGCTCAAGACTGATTTCAATGGTTTCTGCGATGAAAGAGGAAAGCTTACTTTCTTTTGTTTTCTTCCAGGGCCCGTTTAACTCATGGATTCCTCCTTTCTCTGGGATTCTACAACAGCAAGCTCAAATTCCAGGGCTCGCCCCATTCTCTTTATCAAGTCTAGACCAGTTTGCTAGACTGTTCCCAAATCAGATAAGTTTCCCAGGACAGGTCAGTTTTCCTCAGGAAAACCAAGTGAGACAACTGGACCCCTCACAGCCTCAAACACTAGTGCAGACCCAACAAGGCCCTAATTATGTAAGTTGGACCTCTTCCATCTTGTTTCAAGGAGAGATGATGTGTGTCAAATGTGAAAATGAATATGAATCAGCTTTAAAATAAGACAGGAGTTATTGAGCAAGAATTCCCCCTCATAATATGTTTCTACCATCACAGGAAGTTCCTCATCTTTTCTGATTTCTAACATTAAAAATATCATTTAATCCAGCTATTGTAGGATCATAGCCACAAGTCAAAAGTATTAAAACATGTTTTGGAAAATATAAGTAGGGGGAAAAAGACAATTTACACTAATGATAGTGCATATAATAGATGACTTTTTGCTGTCATAGAAGTCTACTAATATATAAATTTATGTGACTAGCTTTAAGAAAAACAGCTCTGGAATTTTAAGTTAAAAAGTCAAGTAAAACTTTTTTTATGATTCTTTTTTTGGCAGGAGATGCCTTATATGTTCTCCTTTAAAATGCCTCAAGAGCAAGCACAGGTAAATAAATAGAATATCATTATTTCTATAGAGAGAGGGCTACCAACACTTGCCATTGAATGAATTTTTTCTTTTATATTTGTAGCTCTGACTCCTGAGGTAGGGCTATAAAAACCCATTGGTATCACTGTTTGGATATCGCTATTGCTGGGCTGGCATCAATTTGTTAAAGGCAGGTTCACTTAATAACTCCCAAAGAAAGACCAGCTAAGGAGAGTCCGCAAGACTCCTGAGTTCCCAAGGCATTGCCATGTTGGGAATAAAGGAGCTCACTAAGCCTTAGGCTATGTTCTCTCTGTATCTAAAGTGCTGGAATTTAGGAATAACTCAAGAGAAATACCAGGGCAGATTTTGCCCAACTCTAAATTGTGTTTCAGAGGGGGATGCATTAAATTGATAAAATATGATATGGTATAAAGATAAGAAACATTTAGCCATGTTATTTGATGGTTATGAAGTTCTGATCAAAACATTTCCAGGTTCTGGTATATTTAAAATTTAATCCATATTACAGTCAAATAATTGGTATTTCCATAAAATAGGAGAATCTTAAAAATATGAATACAAACTAGTAGAATCATTAGGTTAATATGGAAAACCCTCTCAAGATGAGGCTAATTAATTTTATAATATCCTGGGTTCAAAGAAATTAGGGTATAGATAAATTTTATTATTCACCAGTATAGTACTGAGCATTCACTGCTCTGTTACACCAATTGACTCTGCTGTAATCATAATTACATAATTTTGTCCCACCCCAAAACATAAGTTTCTCCTAGACATTATCTCATTGTATGTCATAGCATTTAGAGAGTTAGATATGTGACATGTAGAATTACTTCATTTTAAAGATTAGAAAAATGTCTTAATGAGATTAAATTTTCAATTCTAAGTAAATAGCTGAGTTGAAATAGAATTCTTCACCCTTCCTTTAACCACTAAACCAGTGGATCTCCACCCTGGCTTTGTATTAGAATCTCTGGTGGTAATTTTGAAAATTACAAATGCCTGAATCCTACCCATATCTTATGAATCAAAACCCCATGAGTAGAATCCCAAGATTATCTGCTAAAATGCTTAATAGGTGATTTTGATTCTTCGTCATGATTAAGAACCATTGCACAAAATATATTTCTCAAACCATAGTTGTTTTTTTAAATCTATGTCTAATCTAGTCTAATTTACTTATATAAGAAAACAGCATACGAAACTCTATGTACGTACTATGAGCCCCATTTTTTATGAACATAGGCATGCATAGACACACAGACATGAGTGGAAGCAATACATGATAATGTGGATGGTAAAGTTGCAAGTGACTTCATTTGTTTCTTGTTCTGGATTCTCAGAATATTTTAAAATGCATATGGATTGTTTTAATAAAATGTCAATTGTAAAAAGCAACATATTCTTGATATTGTACTCATTATGGTAGAATTGCTCATACTATGTCCTGCAGAATGATGATTCTCAAAAAATGTAAGGGAAATGCTACATAGGCTATTCTTTTCTTAGATATTTGCAAAGTAATTTGTATATAAAGTCTAAATTATGTATATGAAGTCCAAAATGTCTTTTTTTAACCCTGCTATTCAGTTGAGCACACTATTTCCTATGTATTTGACTGACCAACCTTGAAACAAAGTTTAGCCAGTATCACATGCAATGCAAGCTGTTATTAATGTTTGGGAAGGAATGTTTATGTATTTAATGTTGTTGTTCATAAAATTGCTAGATACATAACAGCTTTAAGATAACATTTACATTAAAAGATTTTTTTAATTCCTATGCCGATTCAAAGAAAGCTCTTATCTGCATTTCTGTTTATAAATAGATGCTTCAGTTCTATCCCGTTTACATGCTCCTTCCCTGGGAACAACCTCAGCAAACAGTCACACAGTCACCTCCACAAACAGGACAGCAGAAATTTGAGGAGCAGGTACTGCAAGTATTTAATTTTAATCTGACTAGACCTATCTGAGAAAAGGGAGATTAAGGTAAATTTTCAGAGAAAAGGATATTGGAGTATATTTAATGCAAAACTCAACAGCTTGAACTGGTGGTTATAAAAGATTATAGTGTTTTCTCGTAATATGTGACTAATTTGGAAATGTTCCAAGGCTGGTTTTAAGGAATGAAATCAGTGAATGGACTTAATAAAATCAGAGGCCAGAAGATAAATCACCTTGGAAAATGAAGTTTTCTAACTTAAAAAAAAAAAAAATCTACCAGCATCTCTCTTTTCATATGCACATGCCGTTATTATTTAAAATACAAATAGCTACCATAATGAAAGCTACCTATGATCACCAGATCTTGAGATACAATTAGATAACATTGCATTAAATTTTGTGACCCTATATTTTTTTTTTTAGGATACTAATGTAAATTCAGGTGGGTTATAATAACTAGATTTCTTTTACTGAAAATGGAAAAAAGTTTACTAGTTTATCATCACTCTAAAACTTGCCAAACCAAATAAGAGAAAATTGAAAATTATGTTTTAAATGACAAATAGTAGTCATTCCAATTGCCATCTAAAAGAGAAAGGAAGAGTTTTAACCTAGAAATCATATGATGTTAAAAGGATGATGGTCAGTGATTTAACAATTTGTACTGTCTAAAACACTGAACTTTCAAAAAACATTTAGTATAATATAAAATATTTATAATTTTGTGATAAATTATCACAAAATTATAACAAAAATCATCAGAACAAATCTAATGTATTTTTTTTAAAAACCTGACAGATGCCAACGTACACTGAATTTGGAAATATTCCACAACAAGCAGAACCTGTAAGTACGTGCATACCTTTCCACATGAAAGCATAACTAACTTTTGAAACTACTTTGTTCAGAGCTCATTAAATCTATCAGTGCCCTTCAGCCAAAAACCACCAGGAAGACATCCCTCATCTTCCAGGGATAAATAAATCCAGGTGAACAAACCTGGATTTATTTACTCATTGAAATGAGGACACACACCATGGGGAACTGTGGGGTGTATTAATAGAAATGTATTGAAGTGCCTTCTGATTGGATCTGCAGTTGTGCCGAGTGACATTGGGGAAAGTTCGAAAGGGGAGGTTCACCTTGGTTCTATAACTGAGTAACGATGATTCTTATCTCAAAGGTACTAATGGAGCAAGGCAAGGTTGTGATTGATAAAGAAGCAAGAGTTACTCAGATTAGCCAGAATATGAGGATGTCTGATATTTTCATGTCTCACACTACGATCTTGCTTTAGACAAGATTACAAAGTGATCTTGTTTTTGTCGCACTTCTTTGTCTTCAGAGGCAAATCTGTCTAATATGGATGCTCTGCAGGATTTTTAATGTTCAAGAGAACACCCAGGCCCAGCAGAAAGTGGCAGACAAGAAGCTCCTGAGAACATCAGCAGAGCTCTTGAGTCAGGCCACTTTCCCAGTGTCAGGAGCTGCTTTCCTCTTTTTCAAAACTAAACGATTATTTTTGTTTTTAGGAAACTAATTTAAGAAGTTGGGAAGTGTTTCACTGCCTTGGATGCAAAACAACTTATTTTAGAGATTAATAATTCAGACTTTTATAAACTTTCCAATTTTTCAGTTTATACCAGGAGGACAGCAGCAACTAGCCTTTGACACCTTCCTAGGCACAGCTCCTGAGACTGTTGTGATGGTAAGGTCCTTGCCACACTTCGCTAGCAACTGACAACCTACAGGCTCCTGTGCTGTTGTTCATTTTAATGAAAACATCATGATTATCATTCCAACAATTATTACAGCTTATGCCAGCCAAGATTCAATTTACTCAGTTCCTCAAATATTTATTGAGGGACTACCATTTGTCAGGTACTCTCCTACATATACTTCTTTAAAAGTAGGTATTAAGAGACATCCGCATTAGCATACTCCTTCTAACAGATATATCATATCTAGAAAATTCTAAAGACATTTACTTCTTAAATTAACTCCTTGCCTTGCATCTCACTCCTGCTGTTATATATTCTTCCTGATTTTGACCTTATACTTGAATCTGAAACCACTTTGTTTTCTTTTTCTTCTGTATAGCCTGCAGGAGGAGTGATACCATATTTACAAAAAGAAGTGATAAATTTTCGGCATACCAGTGGAGGAATTTTCACTCCTTCGACTTCACAAAAACCCAGCACAACAAATGTTTTTGTTTCTGCTATAGACCCAACTAACACCCCAGAGCTCATGGAAGAGAAGGTAGAGTAATCAAAGATTCACTTTATGTGAAGACATTGTTGTCTAATAGAAAATGTAAAGATAAAGCTAGTGCTCAATTTATAGGACTTAGATAAGAAAATGAATTGATACAGTAGAATATGTGGTCTTGACTTTAGGATGGCTATAATTGCTTCCTGATAAATCAGAATATAATTTAATTTTGATTTATAAGAACTTATTGTGAATGTCTTTTTTCTCACTAGGCCAAGACTGGTAGCCTTAAAGAACCATAAGATGTTGTCTTAATCATTCAGAGTTTTTGGTATGTATTTGCCAAGAGGCCTGCACTAAGTACCATGACATATCCTAAATTAAAACAGGGGGAAAAAATCCTGTCAAAGAAACAAATGAAGAGGTCTTACCAAAAAAATAAAAATAAAAAAGTTAGTGCTTATATATTCCTACAAAGCTAGTAACAGTTATGGGAAGTTAACAATTTTTTTAAATCAAAATAAATTTTTGAGAATCATGTATGCTTATGCTGTAAATTTGGTATAAACTCTGAAAACACAAAGAGTAAATATACTAGGTCCAAATAAAGATCATTCTACAGACACTATTTACAGAATCAATTTTCCCAAATCAGGACTTTACTTTGCTACAAGTTGTAATAATATCAGCCAATCTGTATGAGTTTGGAATAAAGTAGTTCCAGTAATGAAAAAAAAATTGAACAATCATAGAATCATAACTTTTCCAACCTGGAAATTTAAAATACCATGATTTTCATATTAAACATAACTTTAATTACCTGTTCTAATGTGCTTGGCTGGCCGGGAGGCTAGCGAGTGTTGATAGAAGGGCAGGCTGGCATGGCACCAAGAAGTAAAAAATACACACTAAAAAGGAAACAATTTGGACAGAAGGGAAAACTAAAAGGCAAGTTTTTTTAAGTCTCTTTCCTGCTGCCTATAAGTCTCTTCTGATTCCTCCTTCTGTGAAAATGAACATTCAGCATTCTTTGAATTGAAAAGTCTGTAATAATGCAACCAGAAATGAATAGTGTTACCACTTTTTAAGAAAAGTCTCTTTTGTTATACAATGCAAGTTAAAGTTATTTAATTAAAAAATATTAAAGGGATTTCAATATAGTGTGACCTTAACTCTACAGGGCAGTAATGCCAGAAAATGTAAAGTTTTCCATTTCTTTTTTTAATCATGCTTTACTGTTATTCTATTACAGCTGTCCCAGTTTCCGCCCCTTTGTCCTCCTCTGCCCAGCCCACCCCCCGCTCCCACAGTCACTTCCCACTCTGTTGTCCATGTCCATCGGTCATTCATACATGTTTTTGTCTAATCGCTTCTCCTTCTTTTACTAAACAATTTAGAAAATATCTAGGAAATTTTACACAGACAGTCTAATTACACTAAAATGTTATTCTATCTTATTTTTCAGAAAAGAAGACATGGCGATGCCTCAGATATCATTTTAGGCTATTTGCTTCCTCGCTGCTAATATCATCTCTTTGAAATATGCAAAATATCTTTGCTTTTCTCTGAATTTCTTTTTACTTATAGTGTTGCACTCTTTGATAAATCATAGGAAAATAATATGATTATTTAATAATGTCTTTACAAAACTACATTTCTTTTCAGATATCCTATCATTGCATAATCTGTAAAGTAACAATGAGAATAAACTTAATGTCACTGAATAAACTGGATAATTGCATTAATAAAAGGGGGCTCTGGAAAATGGTATAATTGATGAGACTAAAGATACACTGACATGGATTTCTGAGTGTGATGATTGGGACTGACAAGCTAAAGTATGTACCAAATTTTGGCATATCTCATTATTTTCCTTAGGCCCATTCAGCTAGACTCCCTGCATGCTCTCTCCATTAAAATCAAATTATTTGGTGGCAGATATGAAGTGCATGCTGCTAGTATGTCAGCTACAGAGAGAGGGATGGCTGTCCTCACCCAAAAGGACAAGTCCCCAGGAGGATGTATGCTGGATTGGAGAGGCAGTCTCTTGTACATAATAGGCCATAGATTTTAGATTTCAATCTGGTTTTGAACCTTCAGCAAGTCACTTATACTGCCTGAGTCTCATTTTTGTCAGGTGTAAAACAGAAATAACCGTACCTACCATTTAGAAATGCTAAAAGGACTACATGAAATAACACCTGCAAGATATCTGAATCATACAAAATACACAGAAAATGTTAAAAATCTCCCCTTTCATTTATAACTATGGAAGTATTTTTTACTTCTTTTCTCAGCTTTGGATCTTTACCTGAAATTCTGAGAAAACAGAAAAATTGACTTTCAATATACTTTCTATATTTGTATGTAGATGTTCATTGATGTGTGCAAGTGTATGTATAAGAAAAGAAAAATGAATGAGTGATAAAATGAATGAATATGTGTTACATGGTTGCAAACAAATTTGGTTAGTGTTCTAGGCTTTAAAGTTGATCACAATTCATAGAATCATAACTTTTTCAACGTTTAGTTATGACTGGAATTTTCTACTTGCTGATGAAAAGAGTAATCTACTAATCACTTGTTCTACCTTCACCTTGTACTTGATCCTTTTCCCCTAAATTAGTGAGTTGAATTAATATAATTCTGGGTAACTAACTGATAACATTGGACACAACACAGCAAATCAAGCACCAACATATCTGATAAAACACAAGGGCTGACTTAGGAAAATTATGTCTCAAAATTCCAAGAGTTCACAAGGTCATTGAGAAAAATTACGAGGTAATTCATGTTGAGTCTTTAGAATAGACTCTGGAACACAGCAAGTGTTCAACTTTTCTCTTTAAGGAGGAGATGAAAGTGGGTGGTCAGAGACTAACGTTGAGAGATGTGACAACATAGCTAGCTATTCTGTTCTAGGGTAAATAGAAGCAGAACTCAGGGGAAACTGCAAAACTAAGCATCAAGCTCTAGTCAGGTCAAGAGAGTTTGGCAATATTAGGTGTTGCCTAATATTGGGGATTATATAAGTACAATATTAACATATTAAACCATAAAATGGATAAGAACTACATACAAAATGCAGTGATAAATATTGAGAAGTTACTTTAAGAATAAATATTTTGTTAAAACATTAAGATTTAACTCAGCATGCTAAATTTATTTATTCCAGGCAATATTAACAGGATCTTAGGATTATATATGTGGCAATTTCCATCTGTTGGGCCAAATGAAAAAATATCTAATTATTAATAAAATTTGTAATAAAATTTAAATTATAAAAAATTCTGTCCCTTGTGTGTGAAAACGTCTAATAAACAGGGCTTTTTGGCTTCTGGCCTCTGGGCTTTCAGATATGGTATAAATGATAAAGGGCACTAGGAAACATCCAAAGAAGTTTTTGAAGACCGTATTTTTTTTTTAACTTAAGAAGTATTTATTAAGCACATACTGGGTGCCAGTGTAAGCCAGGCACATTCTAGGGAAAGCTACAGTGGATGTGCCCATCACTCTGGCACCCAATTCTTTGCTGGAATCCAGTCTTCTGGTTAAATATATAACATTACTCAAGCCTTGAAGGGAATTCAGATATTTATCTGTATCCATTCTCTTAGAGGGAGGACATCAAAAAAATTTTAAGCCAAAATTCCTCTTTAGTATTAACATGTCTGCAAACTGATTATTGTTTAGATCATATCTCATGGTTTTCAATTCATACTCAAAAAAGTGAGAATGCCTAAAGAATGTGAATGTATTGAATTTCTATAAACTTTGTCAGCCACAAAATATGGAACAAGCTATTTCTGCTCTCGTATGGAAGCTAGAGGCAGTTAATCCGCTGCTAAGGCTTCCCACATGTGGATTAAAATGTGCATTTCCCTACCACTAATTCTAATCCTTTTGTGAGATTAGGCCTGTGAGCCACCACCCGCCCCCCCCCCCCACCCACTAATTGCTAAACTTGTTCCAGTAGGTAGTCTAATCCCGGATTACAACTTAGTCTGAGAGTCATAACTGAAAGGGTACAGAGAGGTCATCCAAAAAAACCCATTGATGACACAAAAATCCCCTCAGCTGTGCCTCAGCCTGTGGCCACTCTACCTCCTTGGAATATCTTCAGAGATAGGTGTTTTTAATTTCTAAAAAGTTTTTCCTTACACATTATTTTTAATGTCTTGATATACTAATTTCCACTACTGCAATACACACCCCTAAATATAAACTCAAGCCCTCTTTCATATGATAGCCTGTCCAGCTTCTAAAGGCCACTCACAAACTGTGGGCAAAACATCCTGGTTGCTCTTCCTTGGCTGACCCTTGAGCTTTGAAAGACAACAATGTGCTCAAGACTCCACAGAGGTGATTTCTGTTTATTAGATTCTAGCAGTGTAAAGTAAGGTTAACTCAGGAAAGTAACAACGGCTGTATTCAGCCAGAATTACAGCTGTGAGCCAGTGCTTGGCTGTTTGTGTGGAGGGTAAAGCTAAATCACCAATCTGAAAGAATAATTTCCTCTTTTCTGATACTACTTGGTTTCAAAATTCCCCCAGGTATATTCAGATTTAACTAACATATTAAGTAAACTCCTATTCAGTTTCAATTACTATATAAGATACTTTCATATACATTTATATTAGCTAAGGAACCTAATTATCTGAGGAACCCTGAGAATATATGGCAAAAAGAGCTCTGATTTTCTCAAAGCTTCTGCTTTGATGCTGATAAAACCATCATATATAAGTCAGACACCATGATGAGTGTTTTTATATATTTCATTTCATTTCATTCCCAATTCCAGAGATAATTATCTTTACCTTCACTTTAAAGATAAGGAAACTGAGATTCAGGGAGTCTGACTTGCCTTCCTACAGCTAATAAAATCTACAAATGTAAATACACATCTATCAGATCTAGAGTCTTCCTTTCATTTAGCTTGGGGGTATCCATGGCTGACATCTTTATTAGTCCTGTTGCTTCATAAGAGGTAGACTTTCAATAACAGGATAACCATTTATGCAACCTGCTAACTTAATTAGGACTATCTGTGGCCAACATAAATGGAAACTAAAGAATAGGAAAGCAGAAAGTTCTTATTCAAAAGACAAGTACTATGTGATCATGCTTATATGTTAAATCTACAAAAAAAACAAAAACAAAACTCATTGCCCTGGCCTGTGTGGCTCAGTTGGTTTGAGTATCATCCGATAACCAAAGGATCACGGGTTCAATTCCCAGCCAGGACACATGTCTGGGTTGCGGGTTCGGCCCCTAGGCGGGGTATGCAAGAGGCAACTTATCA